TCTACCCAGCCGACAAAAATGTTGGCATAGCTGGGTCCCATTCTGGTGCCCATGGCAACTCCACTGACCTGTTGGTAAAAAAGATTATTGAAAGAGAATGCATTCACATGCGATCACACATTCTCCCTTCCCTTAACGACAGACTACTGTTCTTTTACATTTTCTCCATTCATTGGAAGTTTCATTTCACACCTCTCTGCATCCATTCTGACTTCACATCTCTTGATTGGCCTCTCTTTCTGTCCCCTGCTCCCACCTCTCACTCCTCCTCCCTCCCAACCTTTGTTCTCCCGCTACTTTACCTTTGCCTACTGCCCCGTCTCTCTCACACCTGAAGAAGGCTCCACGGCCGAAACGTTGTGTTCTTTCTTTTTTTTTTCAGCATGGAATAAACCTATATAGTAGAATATGCAGATGAGAACTCAAACATTTTAGAACATGCAAGAAACAGGGTTTTTAACAGGTCCTCTAGGTAAGACCCATCCATAAAATAAGCAACAAATCTAAACCAAGCATGATATGCCATTACATTTAATTTCTTTTACTTTGTTTGGTTATGGAAACATAAATGATCATATATAATGATAATTATAAATGATAAAATGAAAAGCTACAAAATCTAGCATGGGGAAATAGGACTTTTATATTTTGATTTTAAAGTTTTTGGTAATGCTCCTTATAACTGAACATGTGTGTTTGATTTGAGAACTGAATACAGACATTTCATTCCATTTACCATAATGGGTGGTAAATGCAGTGATATAATTAGTACCACAGGTATCTGTATTAGGACAACTGTTTTAACTAATTAATATCAATATTTTTGATTCTGTTAGGAGGCTATTCCGGTTCACACATTATATAAAAATGTAGGGATTAGCTAGCACTTTAGAAGTGGTAAAGGATTTTCTCATGAACTTAGAATTCAAGACTGGGTAATGAGCTAGCAGATAACAATTGATGTAATCAAGTACAGAGTGTTACATCAAGGTAGCAAAGACATAAATGATCAAATAAGATGCTGAATCGCTGACTTTGAAGAAGCTGTTAATGAAAGACATTTTCTGTATGTTGACAAATTATTTTCATTTTTTAAAGAATTTGAGGAAGCAAAAGGCCATAAGAATGCTGTTTTAGTTAAAAATATAGTATTTAAAATAATGGATGTTCTTTTACAATTGTACAATGCACTAGTAAGACCTTATTTAACGTATTGTAAGCAATTGTAGCCACCGCATTACTAAATGCACTGGAATCATCCCAGAGAAGAAGTATAGGTACAGGCCTGACTAAAAGAACTGTTTTCTGGCTGGCATTTAAATATTGAGAATCCTCGAAGGAACTTACTAATTCATTTGGTGGTGTCTTCTGAAAAACGTCAAAAATGAAATGTTCTAGAATGCAAGTAAAAACTACAAGGAAATGTTCTTAAAACTGAGAACAGGAGTCTCTTTTTTTAATCATTGTGGGAGACACTACCCAGCCATGTTGTTGCAACCAATAGCCTGGTTCCTATAAAAAAACAAAGTAGATAAGTAGTAGGGTTTGTAGCCTTTCTGATGTTTAATGAGTATATATAGTACCCTCTATTTTCTCTGTATTTTTCTCATGTTTTTTAATTTGTATATGCTGTGTCAATTATTTTTGTCATGCTCCAGACAAAGCTGGTATTTGGCTGCTTTCCATTTCTTCAAAAGCAGAATCACCTTTATTTTCTTTAATTCAGTTTGTCCAAGTCTGAAGGTAGCGATGAAAACTGGCAAGCAATGGACAGTTCTCAACCAGGCAACCGGAGAAAATATTACATTAATGTGTGCCGTCCTTTGAACCACATACCAGGATGTGATCGCTATGCTTCTGTCTGCGAGATGAAGTATGAAGTACAGGAGGTCAGTTCAATAACGTAATGGAATCTGAATATAATTCTCTCTGTTGGTATTCATGTCTTGGAAGCACTTCTTGGAAATTATATTTGTTTAGTAAAAAAAATACAGTATAGTGAAATAATTTAATAAATGACTCCTGAAACACTTTTCTCAAGGGTGTATTTTGTGTGTTACTTTAGGGCATAATGGTTGAGAAAGTTTCTGTTAGCAATTTGGGAATTGCCAAGAAGGGCCCGATGATTGAAGATGAAAACCACCTTCTCTTGGAATACAGTGATGGCTCTGCATGTGTCAACGAGGATGGCAACAGGATGGCGTACACCACACGCATCCACTTGGTCTGTTCCAGGGGGATTCTGGTAAGTGCACTGTGACAGTTAACCAATCTTTCACCCTGTTTTACCCCCAAGACAATTATTTTCTCTTTTTATTACAGTAAATTGTAGTAGAATGGACGTGTAAAACATAGAACAGGAGATAAATTTAGTTACATGGTTTACTGTTCTGTCCAGCATTGACAAAATTAGTTAATTTTTAATTCTGCCAAAAGTTTAATTCTTTATTTAAAAAAAGCTTTATACTGAAACTTCTAAAACTATGTCAAAAAGAAGGTGGAGTCTTATTTATGTACATAATCTTTGCAAAATCAGTATAATTTAGTAATACTGTAAAGAAGTTTGTAGACTTCATGTAATAATTCACCATGACTTTACATACATAAACAAAACTGACTTGATGCCCTTGTCTGTCCATTTGAGCAGTGAGTTTTACAGATTTGGTTCTGCACCTGAGAAAGTCTGTCATATTGTGTGGAGTTTAGTCTGAGTTGGAGTAAAACTGGACGTGGATTAGCAGATAATGAATTGGACGATACTTGTGTGACAAGTCCTTAAGATACCCTTGAAACCATGCAGTACCTTATATACTGTATGAGCAGGATAACTGTATAGTCCTATCAAAATTTAACAGTGAGAATTGAGAGAGGACAGCAGATTTGCTGGTTTAAAGTGCAAACGGTAGAATCCAGGACATATTGAATCCCCAGTCAGTAAAGCATTACATTAGGGTAATTTTGATTAAATAAAGACATGATTCAATATTGCAGCATTAGAAATGTAGAGCCAGGGGTCCTAACCAAACAGAGTTATGCAGGTAGAAGAAAGTATCATTCCTAACATGAGTTTCAAATGATCATGGTTTTTCAAAACCATCATTAATGTTTCTGATTTCAATCAGAAATTACAAACATTTTATAAAGTAATTGAGTAGGCATTTGGTCTTATTACAGTTTAGCTTAAAGTTTGGTCTAATCTAAATTTTAGCCTTTGGTAGTCTCAGATATGCAGAAATATTAGTCATAGTATCTGATGAAAAACCTAGAAACTGTCCACGTTCAAGTTTGCTGTTCCCGACAGCTGCAGGGTCCTCTAGCTGTTTATTTAACCTAAACCTTTAAGTAAAACACTGATTTCATTCTGGAAGTTTGAAATCTTTTTTTCTGGCACAGGATACTGCATGTGACAGGGGGAACAGAAGATCAAGAAAACTAAGCATAGGTTAAACTTAATCTATGTTAAATTAAAGTTTAATACTAAAAATGCTAAGAAAGGGATATTTAGTTAAAAACTCTGTTCAAGGAATCATGGTGTGCACCATTTGTTTCCTCAGTCTTCTGGCCCTCGTTTCCTCATGAATCAGAACTGTACTGCCACCTTTCTGTGGGAAACTGAAGCTGCATGTGTCATCTCCACCTCTGAGGAGAGTAATGTAAGTGTGAAAATATTTTTGTCATGTTTGTGTTTTTAGCTTTATGTAATTAAAATAATTCAGTTCACACAACAAATACACCTAAAAGTTCATTATTTTTAATGATTTTTTGCCATGCTTTTATTTACATATTTATGCTTGATTTTAGTTTAGAAAAGATTGCCTGCTTTTGTTGTACCATAGCAGCAGACCTTTTGGTTTTCACGCAGTGTAATTAATCAGAAGATCCCTGCACTTAAAAACTTTACGTTTAAATTAAACTTTAAGTTAAACTTTAAAAGAACTTGTTGAGTGAGCAGAGAGATACAAATTAGGCAAATGTATGAATGATTTATTGTGAAATGGCTTCTCTTTTTCTGGATGTTGTGAGCATAAAGCATGTCAGTTATGGTGCGAAAGCAAATTACATGGAATAAATGATCTTTAGGATACTCCAATGAACACATATCTTTCTTTATCTGTCCCTAGAGGTGGTTTGTCTCCTTCAGAGGGGAAAAATAACCTAAATTTCTCTTTATTTTAGACTTGCACTTTGAAAGATCCAAGCACTGGGTTTGAATTCAACCTGCAGCCTCTTGCTTCCAAAACCGGATATGAAGCTTTAGGAAATGGGAAAAAATTCAAGGTATATTAGAAAAAATAAATTTCTGCAAAACAAAAAATTGTGTCAGTTTTAACACTGATGATGATGTGAATCCTGCCACAAATATGCATTTTCTGTGCATACTTGTAACTTGTACTTTTGACTACAGAACATATGTCTAAGAGGTTCAGTTGCAATTATGTTATTGATCTTGAAGATGGGAAACAGACGATTGAATTTAATTGTGATAGAAGAGTCTTAGCCAGATCAATTTTATAGCCTGTTACTGGATTTTTCCTTTGATTTTGAAAAAAGTCAAACAAATATGTATTTTGTGATAGCATGGAGAGTTTTTTTGATACAGCAGATATTAAAAGTCTTATCTCCCTTATTGAAATTTCAGTTTTTGTTGATGTAAAGGCTGAAATCAACTTAAATCATGTCAGATCTTTTTTCACCATTAATAAGATCTTGTAACGAACAATATTTAAGCAAAACAAAAATCAATCATTCTTAGGAAAAATAATTAAAAATAAAAAACTTTCAATGCCACGGGTGCATAAGTGTGCACACCCTTTAACTAATACTTTCCGAAAAAACCTTTTTGCTTTGATTACAGCAGTAAATCTGTTTGGATAGGTCTCTATCAATTTAGCACACCGGGATTTTGCAATTTTATCCCACTCTTCTTTGGAGAAGAGTTCAAGCTCAGTCAAATTGCGAGGGCATCTCCTGTGCACAGCCCTCTTTAGGTCAGTCGACATATCTTCTAAAGGATTGAGGTCCAGGCTCTGACTGGACCATTCCAGGACATTAATCTTCCTTTTTCTAAGCCATGCCTTGGTTGAGTTTGCCTTGTGCTTCAGATCATTGTCGTGCTGAAAGGTGAAATTCTTCTTATCTTTAGTTTTCTGGCAGAAGGCAGCAGATTTTGTACCAAAATATCTTGATATTTGGACCTATTCATTTTCCCCTGTATCCTGATCAGAGCCCCTGTTCCCGCTGAAGAGAAGCAGATCAATATCATGATGCTGCCACCACCATGCTTGACAGTGGATATTATGTTCTTTAGGTGATTAGCTGTGTGGCTTTGCGCCAAACATATTTTTTTTGTAATTAAGGCCAAAATGTTCTACTTTGGTCTCATCAGACCATAAGGCATTTTTCCATATGGTGTGAGATTGGGAGATTGAATGTGTTTTCTTGCAAAAGTTGTACAAGCTTGGATGTTCTTTTTGTGAGAAATGACTTCTGTCTTGCCACCCTACCCCACAGCTCAGACTTGTGGAGAATACACAAAATGGTTGTAATATGCAGGGAGTGGCCAGTTACTGCCATTCCTGCAGCTCCTTTAAGGTTGCCGTTGGCCTCTTGGTAGCCTCTGTGATGAGCATTCTCCTTGCCCGGTCATCGATTTTAGAGGGATGTCCTGATCTTTGCAATGTCCTGGTGCCATATTTCTTCTACTTCTTAATGATGGTCTTCACAGTGTTCCATGATATATGTTATGCCTTCAGAATTATTTTATATTCCCCTCCTGATCTGTACCTTTCAACAATAAGATCCTGTAGATCTTCTGTTAGTTCCTTGTGGACCATGGTTATCTCTGCACTACACAACCAAGAAACCTTTAGGGAAGTCCTAATGGAACAGCTGATTTTATTTAGGTCTAATCAGAATCACTTTAGTTCATGTCATTTAAAGGCAAATTACCTATGTATGATTTGGAATGGGATTGGTTAAATCTGAACACAGTTACAAACCCCTTTATATAGGGGGTGCACACTTATGCAACCTAGGCATTGAAAGTTTTTTAATTATTTTTTCCTAAAAATGATCCATTTGTTTTTCACTTAAGTATTATTGGTTAAGATCTTATTAAAAGGTGAAAAAGGTCTGAAATGGTTTGTCTTGATTTCAGCTTTTACATCAACAAAAGCTGAAATTTCAATAAGGGTGTGTAGACTTTTGATATCCACTGTATACTATCTCATCTGAAAGACAGCTCTCACTTAACACAGTGCCCCTTAGTCATTGTTTTGTTGTGCTGGTTTAGAATGTCCTTATTTTCTTTTGGTAACCCAATATAAGTATTAACTAAGCCCAGCCTTGTTATACGAGCAATTTGTGAATCTGGGTGGCATATTCATGTTGATTATTTGTATTTTAATCTGTAGACGTTGTAGTCGGTGAACAAAATAATCATTGGGTACTGGGTTTATTTTAAAAGCAACCCAGAGTCTTGTTTCCTGTGAAAGGTACCAGTTATTCAAAAGATGCAGAATGTTTCCATTTACCATCCCAGTCCAGATCAGCAATATAAAATGGCAAAAAATGTGCTTGAAACTGTTGTAGATTTACTAGAGAAATCATGCAGTTGTCTAACTATTCAATTTACTTTTCATTTTGTTGCTAGGTTAATATATGTGATTCACTAGATGAGTGTGGAACAGACAAGCCAGCTGCTGGGTGTGAGATTGAGGATGGGAAACCTCTGGGTCCGGTTGGTGTGACAAAATCTCTGCAGTTCTCGACTGAAGGCCTATTGACACTCACTTACAAAGGGGACCTTGATGTAGCCACAGGTAGGAAAGACTGAAGTCAGGCAGTTTTGGCAGACACTTCCCCTATTAAATGACATGAGATAATAGGGTGGAGTATGCTTTAATGTCGACTGTAGAAATTCTACCTGTTGATGTGGAGCTATAAACTTGGTAAATCTTACCTTGGCAATTTTGTCATAATTGTTTTGTTTTTTTTTCATTTTTACCTTGGTTTTGCTTTGATGCTCCAGTAAAGTAAAGCATAATGAGGCAAGATGAAACCATTTGAAATAGAAAAACTGAATTAAAAGCTGACAAAACTATGTTAAATCTATTTGGCCACAAAACTAAAAATCAGCATTTGCTTTCCTTTCAAAATTATTGAATTTAGAAAGAAAAACATTTATTATGTGAAGCTTCATTTCAATTTATTTTCATACAATAGCTAAGATCACTTTATTGGCCATATACAATTTCTTGTATTAGGAATTTGTCTTTTTCGTATAAATGAATGTGAAATGAATGAACTATGAATAAGTTATTAAAAACTTCTGTTAAAAGTTGTCAATATATATTGTTGTTCATAATATTGACATGCATTTTACTGCATGTCTTACTATATTTAAATATTTTACACTGTAATCCTACATTTAACTCAATATTGCAAGTGATCAAGCATTTTCATATATAAAGTTAATACTGTAACAAATAGAGTGTATTTGAATATCTCTGAAATACAGAGATACCACATGAATATCTAGTTTCTGGTACTTTCACACAAATGATAAACATTAACATTAATTGCAACCCCTGTATTCAGCATATCACAACACAACATATCTTGGTGTATCCGGCTCAGCTTGGTAATGAACAGGCAACAATAAAACTTAAGTTTATACAAATACACAATTTAGAATGTTTCACTACTTTTATTTACAGGTATTTACAATTCTGTGAGACACAATTCTGCCTTCAACACATATAGAAATGACAGAATTTTGACACAGAAAATTAAAATTAAATTAAATTTAATTGAATTGATTTTAAATTGAATTTAAATTTACAAATTAAATTAAAATGTTAAAGAGGGAAACTGCATCCTATTAAACAAGGATTCTGCACAGGACTAAATCTGTCTTTTGAAACAGAAAAGGATGCTAAATGAATGGGGACCTATTGTCCTGTTCCAAATAATGCATTGCATAGCAAGGAAAAGTTTTTTTTTGTGAATTTCACAAATATGAAATCAGTATTTCCACAAAATGTAGAACAGGAAACCCCTTTTTAAAACCCTGGTACACTTTCCATGTTCAGTTTCCCTGGATAAATCCTGGTTTCTATGTAAAAACAAAAAGGAGGAAAACTTTTATCACTGCCACTTATGTCTCTGCTCATCCTTCCTTTCTCTCATTCTTCTGATTTCTCTTTATTTGTCTTGTTTATTATGTGTCCTTACTCCTGTGCAGCTGGCTTAATGGCGTTACTTGGAATGATACAGTCACTGTTAAATATTGATGTTCTAAGAATATTAGGGAGTGCTGTATTTTAACAGAGTTGAGGCAAGTTTAGTAACTCTCTGGTCTTCACTTCCCTACAGGAATCAGCAAGACTTATATCATCAACTTCATCTGTGACCAGGACATCTACCCTGGAACACTGAATCTGGTGACAGAGGAGATGAGCTCTACTACACATGTCACTCATGATGTCTTCTTTGAGGTTCACACAGCCTTGGCCTGTGCTCCTGCCCCTGTGAACTGTGAAGTCACTGGTAAGCTGAAATTGAGAACACAAAGAAGTCTTGTGTCCAATGCGTTTTTCTGGCCTGTGTTTAGTGATTTGTATCTGCTTGCTTTCCAGGTGCCCATCTTGCAAAACATTAGTTCGGTGACAGTAGTTAGGGAATGTAATCATAAACAGTGAAATGTTCAAGCAGAATTTTACTTTCCCTGCACTCATACATACAGTGGGTGCAGAAAGTATTGGCCCCATTGTATTTTGCCACATTTTGTTGTGTTACAACTGGAAAACTCAGTAGACTTATATATTTTTTTCCCTTTTGATCCATACAACATCCTCCACAATAGCAATGTGTTTACAAGTTTGAAGCTAAAAACATAAAGGGTTTTTAGGGTTAAAAAATCTTAAAAATCTTCATCCCAGGGAATACTGTTAAATCAATTATCAGGAAGTGGAGGACATATAACACTACTCAGAATCTTCAACAACCAGGTTGTCTTCCAAAACTCAGCAACGAGGCAAGGAGGACATTGGTCATAGAAGCAGTCACAAGGTCGAAAACAACCCTCAAAGACCTACAATGTCTCATAACTGAGATGAGAGAATCTGTGAGTGAGTCAACAATGCCTCAGGTACTCCACAAATCTGGGCTCTATGGTAGAATGGCAAGGAGGAAGCATTTGAAAAAGCTCACAGGAAGTACTATCTTGAATATGCAAAAAGGCTATGAAACAATATGGAAACAATTTTGTGGTCTGATGAGACAAAAAATCATTTTAATTGTTAATTTAATAACTACATTAAGTTGATTGGCTTCAATTCCAAGTGTTATATCTGGTGAAAAAAGAGCACTGCTCATCACTGTCTAAAGAACATTTCCACATTGAAACATGGTGGTGGCTGCATAACATTGTGGGGTTGCTTTGCAGTGGCAGGGACTGTTAGGCTTATCAATATAGAGGGCATTTTGGAAAGGGCAAAATATAGGCAGATTCTGGAGCAAAACCTAGGACCTCTGCTTCCCCAGTAACCTGCATCAGCTGGAGCAGTTCTGGAAATAAGAGAGGGTGAAAATTAAATCTGCAAGATGTGAAAAGCTGGTTACAATATACTGCAAAGGACTTGATGCTGTTAATGTTGCAAATGGGAAAGCAACTAAATGTTAAATGCTCAGGGAGGTGAATACTTGTCCAAGTTAGATTTCTCAGTTTTCTATTATTCATAAAACATTATTTTATAATTAAAAGTATTGTGCCCAATCAAAATGTTAAGTATGTTTTGATAATTGTACAAAAAATAATCCTGTTTTGCAGTTCGAGGTTGTAACACAGCAAAATGTGGTAGGCAAGGGGGTCAAGACTTTCTACATACTGTATTTGATTGATATTCCTTTTGATTTGACTCAAATTAAATGTTTTCTTCCACCATTTGCAACATTTCCTTTAAGGTTTGAGAGGCCAGATTGCCAGCCACAGCCATAGAGAGTTTTAGATTTACCAGGAGCTCAGAGATGGCACTCTGGCTTCCATGAACTAGGAAGGATAAATCATCTTGGTATTATCCTCTTTATTTTGTTACTGTATTTGCTCAGTTTGACAAAAATGAATTTGTATTATGTAGGCACAGTCCCTAAGAGTTTATTTTATTCAATAAACCCTGAATCTGTGTCACAATATCAGGTCAATGGAGAGGTAGACATTCTACTTTAAACAGAACAGGGTAATGAGTGTACATGGCTTAAGAAATGGATGTCTAATCATTTTAGATCATCTGAAATTTACTGTAATTTCATGCTTAGTCAAATAATATCTAAATTATTATTTGTTAAAAACAGAGCTTATGATATGTTTTCAGATTCATTTGGCAATGAGTATGATCTCAGTGACCTTAGTAGAGATGACGCTCCTTGGCAGGCAATTGACACTTCTGCAGATGCAAAACAAAGGACTTTTTACATCAATATCTGTAAGCCATTGCCTTTGGTGCGTGGCTGCCCTGGTGAGTTAAGTTTTTAATTATTTATTTTAAAAGGGAGTTTGATTATTTTGGTATTTCACCTTAGATTGTTTAATTTCTTCTATATTCACAGTTTAACCTTTGCGGTGTACGACTATCACGGCACACCAAAATAGATGTTTCTAATAAATGTTATCTCAGTGTGTCCCTTCAATGATTAATGGTTTAACCATGTCTTCTCAGACCTTTAATAAACTAAACACTTAAGCAAAAAGTAAAATGGTGAGGAGAGGCAATATCACCTTCATTAGATTTCATAAGGGTGACTAAGGTTAGAATAAGTTAATTTGTATGGTATTGTGTAATAAATGTCATTTTGAACAGGTGTAATGTAGGAGCTTTTTAATGAAATGAAGGTGCACAAGATGCTTAATTGCATTTGTATCCACGTGACATATTAACTCATTAAAATGTAAAACGATCTTAAAAATTAAGAGTAAGGAAAGAGTAATTCTAGCAATAAATATATTTTAAATAAATGTTAGTTTTTTGTATTACAAAATTCAGCAGATCATTTTATATATTCATACAAATTAATACAATTTGTATTAATAGGAAATTCAACATTTTAAAGGTGTTTGGTTTGGGACAGACAACAGTGACAGCATCCAGTTTGTACTGCAGTTGAATATAAGGAAGATACCAACAGAAGTCATAAAAATTGTTGAAATAATATAAGAGTTACGTACAGTATTACTGAATTTCAGTCAAATTAGAAAAGGTTGCTCTTGGCTTTTCCAAAAATGCTGCTTTGTGGTTGCTTGCAGTCTTTGAAATGTGCAGGCCGTTTGCTTTGGTAACAGTGTTGTCTGTGTTCAGGAGGTCCCTTGGGTTCCTGTGCCAGTTTCCCTGACCACAGCTTCAACCTGGGCTACATTCAGGCCAGCCCTCAGGCAGCTCCAGACGGCTCCCTCAGCATTGTCTACCTCAATGGAGACAAGTGCGGCCAAAGCCGCTACTCCACACGAATTATCTTTCAGTGTGATGACAGTCCTGTAAGTTGTTTTTTTCAATCTTTAATGTTTGCTTCCATAAAGACAGAATACGAAGAGGTTGAGAAAAAATAATACTTGGTAGGAGAAAATAGAGGTTAAGGAGTCAAAATAAATGGTGGCTTCTCTTTTTCTTTATGAATATTCATTATTTACTGTAAATGGCTAATTAGAATACAAATAATATACGGACAATAAGTCTGCTCAAGCTGTATGGTTTAGTTTCAGTGCACATCCAGATCCAGCAGAACTGCTTGTGCAGGTGGGCTTGCTCCATCCTTATACGTAATCTTGTGGTTTTTTATATGTTTGTGTGTGGTCTCATCCTCATTTGAACGATATTGTTAATAGGGGGTTAAGTAAATAGATAGTGGGCAATACAATAATTAGATGTCATTGATATACCTGAGCAATTGGTATAATTTGAGGTACATGAGATCTGGCGTGTGAGTTTTTTATTCTCACAGACAGCTCTGGGGAAGAGTAATAAATCAGTGGCAAATGTGAATAAACCAATATTTCTTAACAAGACAGTAACACAAAACTTGAATACAAAACAATAGAATGTTACACACATATTCTACAACAAAAGATACACTATTAACAAGGCAGGGTGTCTTGGAGGTAAATATTCTACCATGCCAAAAAGCCCAGAATGCTAACCCTGAAACCTGCAATCTAATGTTTAAACAAGCCAACAAGAGAAATACCCTGCACCCTAAATAAAAAGAATACAACGCAGTGGTAAATATCCCTTTCTAGAATCTGGATGCTTAAAATTGAATGGGAATATATATTCCTATTCTAAAACACATGACCAGCTTGGAGAGGACATTTTTAGCCTCACTGGATTTTGCAATAATGGAGTCCTAAAACTTCAGAATTTCTTGAAAAATAGGATGGCAAGCATTCTTGAACAAGGTTTAAATTATTAGCTTCTATTACTTTTAGCTAGAATTAGGTCTCCAAGACTAATCAGAACAAGGTCCTCCGGCCTGGCATACTTCCATTCCTTATTTGTCTATCTTTGTCTTCTTTCCCTAATCTCCCTCTCCTGTGACTTTGGATTCTGTCTTTTTGTGTGTTAAATGTTTATTCTACATTATGATTCACCAGAATTAATTCGCCAGAAGATTCCCTTTGATCATTTGTGTTTACCATCCTGTATGCTCAGTAAACAGTTCAGCTGCTACTCATTGTTTCAAAATTTTACAACACTTCTTCAGTTGTAACAATATTATCTTATTACAATATTGTAACATTCAGCTTCATTTTTGCTCAGAAATATAGAGAATTGATATCAGCAAAGGGAAGATGAACAGCACACATTTATTTCAAGACAGCACTGTGTTGTAAATGCCGGGTTGTTAGAGTGCCTTGAAATGGATCTCTATCCAAAATTTGTTTCAAAACATTTGAGTCCTGCTTCTAAACCAGCCCCTGTAAGAACTGCAGCTTTAGGAGGTCTGACCAAAAATCAGAAAATCAACAGAGCAGAGTATCCAAAAGTAAACTTTGTGTTTAGTCTTTAGGCTTTCGTTTTGAGTATTTCGTTTGATGTTTTTTATTTAAAATTTTTGCAGTTGCGATCAATCACCATACAAAGAACTGTAGGAGAGAACATCTGCATTTCTAACTTAACGTGCCTAAATCTTTGATAAATGATGAACCCATTTTTCTTTTCAGTAAAACAGTATCAGTTGTTAAAGCAAATTTTCTGTTTCTTAGGACATTAATACCAAGAGTAGCTTCAAAGATTGTTGACAAATCCAGTGGCAAATCCTGGCACTTCTTATATTCTTTTGACCTGTGAATGGCTTCCAGTATTTAACCATACATAGGTAACAGTGTAAACAAGGTTGCATTTGCCTTAGGTGAATAGGTGGTGAAAATTTTTAAAACAATTGCTTTTTGCCTCTGTTTGATTCCAATAGTAGTCAGAATGTGCTATGTAGAAATTGGTACCTCTAGTAAAAAATTAAATTAAGAAACTGAACTGCACTTTTAAAAACTCGAGGAATAGCACCTATTTGGATTATAACTGCAAAGACTTGCATATCAGATTTGATTTGTTTTAAATTTAAAGTAAATAAAATGTGTTCTCTGCACAAAGCTAAGTTTGATTTAGAGTACACAGACCATTTTAATCATTAGTTGTGAATTATTCAGCTACTATTTTGCACTTCCTATCAAGAGTGAATTATTTTTCTGTATCTTTTCATTGAGGGTGGGTCAAGTGGCTTAACAACCATCACACTTCTCTACTAGCCTCAAATCTATCTTGTCCATTTTGGATTTCAAAAGGTCTGATGTAATTATTCTTTGTTGCTCTTCAGGGTTCCCCTGTATTTGACCGCCTCAATGGCTGTGAGTATGTGTTCATTTGGAGAACCTCTGAGGCATGTCCAATCCACAGGGCTCAAGGTAAAATAGGAGTATGGTGGGGTTGTTTAGCCTTCCTGACTGCCCTTTTATTTGAAAGATATGCGTATTTTCCTTTCTCTGGCATTTTTAAAAAAGTACACATTTAAGGAAACCACATGGCATCTTTAGTTTGGATTTGTTATCAAAGCAGTATAACTAAAATCCCCAAATTCTATCCACATCTACAGAATGTGGTGAAATTGTCTGTCCATGTCTATACAAAGTTTATAAACTTTTTTAACACAATTCTTTGTTCTATAGCTGTTTAGTCTGTTTTGGAATTTAATGATGGATAAAAGAAATTAGCAGAATCAATGTTTCATTCATGTTTAGTTGTTTTGCAAAGAATTAGTGGTTTCTGTGTATTATGTGTGTTGTTTTATTGTCATAAAATGGCCATCATATATATATATATTATATTTAACACAGGTGATCATTGCAGAGTAAGGGACCCAAGGAGTGGCTACGTGTTTGACTTTACAAAGCTTTCAGGGAAAGATTATGAAGTAAAGTCTGGGCAGTATAATTATCGATTTTCAGTGTGCAGCCCCCTGCATACCAAAAAATGCAAAAACAGTGAGTCTGCATCATCTTGCCAGGAAGACACTGCGCAACAGGATTTTCCAAGGATTGCAGGTAGTTTTGAAACTTTTCGTATGTCTTGGGAACAATATTTCATTTACATGATGGAATTAAGTATACCTACCCTGTCAATAGGTGCACTTAACATTTAAAGGAACACATAAAGGTTAATTCACACCTAATCTTTCCTTTATTTTCTTCTACTGTATATTCTCTTCGTCTTACACTCTCTCATATGTGAAAAAGGCTCAATGTTCAAAACATTGTTTCTCCCTTGTATTTTTCAGCATGGAATTAACCTGTATTTATTTATTCACAGCCAGTGCATGCTATCACAGCTCACCACTTGAATGTATTTAATAATTATTTGACTTTACATTTGGGTTTTCTGTTTCTTAGCAAGCTACCACTTATACCAGTTTTGCTTACTAGTTTCTACTACAAAGAAAGTGTTCCTTTGACTGTGCTGTTTTCTAGGATTGGCAACACAAAACCTTACCTATGAAGATGGGCTAATAATGATTAATTACACCAACGGGGAAAAGTGTCACAAAATCTATGAACGGTCCACAGCCATAGTGTTCATCTGTGACCACAGCAAGAACTATGTGAGTTAATTGTGAGAAACACACATTTAGGGTGTTTATGCAGGCCTTAATGCAGACTGTAGTGTTTGAAATATGTACTGTAAATGAATGTATCTTGCAGATGGGCTTGTGTTCAAATGAGAACATATATTCCTAGAAGGATCTTATCTGTTAAGTGAGTTTCCTGTTAGTATGGACCCTCTGTATGTGAAATTCTTGCATTTTCAGAAATGATTTTGTTCCATTACTCTACAGGTTACCAGTATTTGCTTTATAAAACTAATACTTTACTATTTTTCCATGCTTCTAGGTACTAGGGCCTAAAACACTGAAAAGATTTGAAGAATATTTAACAAACAAAATATGTATTAACAAATCAAAATACAAAATGTCCAGAAGTGTATTGTTTACTCTCTGTATGTTGGACAGACTTTTTGACTCATTTCAATTTAATTTGTGTAATTAGGTTTTGTGGCTGGCAGCTCCATCTGCTACTAAGACACTGCATTTGTAACATTTCTTGGCTGTGCAGCTTACAGGGTATCATTTTCATTCTAGGGAACACCTGTGTTTCTGAAGGAGACCCTAGATTGCACCTACATGTTTGAGTGGCACACAGAACTTGCCTGCCTTCCATTTAAAACAATTGAGTGCTCATTCAAGTAAGGGAGGGAATCTTTTACCATGTTTTCTTCATGTACTGTACCTCACTTTTTGGGAAACTCATTGTCCAGCAGATGTTTTTGAAATTTTGAAATTCTTTAAAATAATTGACCTGTTTATTTCTGACAGAGATGGAAATGGAAACTCCTATGATCTTTCACCTTTGTCACTGCATAATACCAATTGGGTTGTTGAACCAATGATTGGCAGCACACAGAAGCGCTATTACATCAATGTCTGCAAGTCTCTTGTGCAGCAAAATGGTAAGAGTATTCAATTTGTATGTGTTACTATGCAAAAATACTCCCTTCGAGATAAGTAAGAGGAAGCTCTTACAGTGTTAAGGGAAATAGGTATGTATAAAATGAAAGCAAAGGACATGAATGGAAATTTGCTAAAAGTTCTGTACTTTTCCCAGGAATAGCTGTAAATCAGAGAATTGTGCATTGAATGCTGAATATATTTAGATATTGTTGTGGAAGTTTATAGGATGGGATCTTTCGAAAGGATGCTGAGGTAGATCCGTTTTAGAGTCATTTGTAAAGAATCTTGCCAGAAAGAAAAACAAATTCTTTCTACTTTCAGAAGGGAATTTAAAATGAAGGATTGTGTATTTAAAATATTTTTTTGCTTTTGATATTGAAGTGTTTTTTTAAGTTAAGCTAAAATGTATTTTCACATTTGGAAAAAGTGAAGCAAATTCTGCATTTGGGGAACAGTTTTGAAGTTTGTATTGTTCGTGTTTAGAAAAATTGCAGGCTATGATATGCTGAACCACTACTCCCCATAATTTTTCCTTATGCTCTTGTGTGACTATGTGAATATGATGAATTATGAGGAAAACCCATTAATATTATTTTTTTTCTGTTTCACAGGATTAAAAGTATAGTATATTTTTATGCACTATGATAACTTGCTTTAAGACAAATCATGATAATTAAATGTTTTTTTAGGGTCCTGGGAGTGTCCCTCCAGTGCAGCATCCTGTATGAAGAATGGTTCTCAGTATGTCAGTCTTGGTGAGGTAGAATCAGGACTTCAGTGGGAGAACAATGTCCTATTCCTGCAGTATATCAACGGAGAGAAGTGTCCAGATGGGAAGCGGAACAGGATGACCATTATACGTTTCAAATGTGATGAAGATAAAGTGGTGAGTGATCTGACCCTTGTACACACATCTGTCATTTGTGTTAAATCACAGGATATGATTTAATGTACTGTAACACATTGATATATGACCTCCAGATGCTCTTTCAAAATTGATACATATTAAATTCATTAGGTTAAGTGAATTTAGAAATTTGCTGACCATATAAGGAAGAAGTATTTTCTGGACATAAATATATATAGGTCTTTAAGTACTTTTTTTGTTTTCTGCTTTATTCTATCATATTATTTAGCTAATGAAAAATGTAAAAAATATATTGTCAAAATCAAACATCTTAATATCAGTGTACATTCCTCAATGTTTATTCATTCCTGACATCCTGATGACCTTACCTTCTCACTATGTCTTACCAACTGAACTGACATCTGCTAACTTGAACTGCTTGAACTGTGATGTTGGTAGTCCTGTCCCTGAGCCAAAATCTTGCTCAATTTTCACTTAGCTGTAAGGGAATGATCTATGACGAATTGTTGAAACCACTGTTTAAATTTATAGGCTACTTGTACACTCTTAAAAAGCATTTAGGACTCATTGTAAATATTTCTTACATTTATTGGTAGAAATACATTTCGTGGAAATAAATACATTTCTCAGAAAGAAATTTCTTACATTTATTTCTTACACCATTGGTGGTGATGGAGGGGAGTCCCCATTACCTGTAAAGCACTTTGAGTGGAGTGCCCAGAAAAGCTCTATATAAGTGTAAGCAATTATTATTATTATTATTATTATTATTATTATTATTGGGAAATTTATGACAATATAGAATTTTAGGTAAAGCCTCTAATGGGGTGGCAGCTGTCAACCAAAGCCTATCCTCTGATTACGTTAATACCTATGGTCTTTAAGATTTGCTTTTTCTGTAGATTGCTTAGGTCTCTTCTAAAATGTCACTACCTGAAATGTTCTTAAATTGGACCATTAGTGGTTTGGTTTGTGACCTCTATTGGTTGCATAGAATTGAAGGACTTAAGCACACAAACTGCCTGTTATAAAGGTCCTGCAGCAAATATGTTGTGATCTGATTAAAGCCATTACTACAAACAGTGGAGAATTATAAATCTGGGGTGGAGGCTTGCCGACGTCTGGTAGAAAAAACCTTCCCAACCTGACTTGGTCCATAACCTATTTTCTCAGGTATACAGTTCTACCTGTAACATTAAACTAGCTTGACTCCATGAAGAGTTAATTAGACTACCTGTGTCCTTCATGTTTTATAAGCAGAGATTGAACACAGCCACAGCAGATCTTATTCTCACTGGTGCAAATTTCTGCACATTTTCTCTCTCTGTCAGGTCTTTAAACTTTGTAGTAACAGTTTAAAGACCAGACAGAGACAATGCCAGACGGAATAGATACACAATTACTGTTACAAGATTGTTACGTACTGAGTGCCCCAGATCTCCATGGTCTGGATTGGACAACCTCTCCTCTAGTAAATTTTGTTTAAACATAACCCCTTGTGGTAAAAACAAAACAATTTAAAACAAATGGAAAACCGCCTGCAGAAAGGTACAAGATTGTATTACCAATTACCTTTTTGATTAAGAAAATTAAATATTTACAGCTAAGTCTGTGTTGACCTTTGTTTAACAGTTTAAATAAATTTAAGAACCTCTTACTTATTTCTCTAATCTGTTAATGCATCACCTAACATCTGGATTTTAAAAGAAACATATCACTTTTCATTTCCAATGGGCATTTACTTTAGGTAATTCTTCAGCATAGTACCATATGAAAATATGGTTAAAAGAAATTTGGAAAACAAAGTGGAAGATAGTGTTCTAAAAATATTTTACTAACCTTCTAGTTCAAAGTCCCAGATGCAAACCTAACAGGATTCTGATTGAAGATGTACTTGAAATTAAAGTGAGTTTCACACCCTTGCACTGTACTGTATTTAAGACTGAAATCCTTTTTTTCCCACTGCAGCATATGAGAATAAGCAAGTTGTAATTATCCATAGAAAAGAACATAAATCCATTAAGGAGAGCAAATAGTTTGTGATTGGTTTGAATGTTAAATATCCTTATATTTGATTATTTTTTTGTGAATGCTGACGGCATGTTCATGTTATGTTCTCTGCTGCAGGATTCAAAGCCAACACTGATCACAGCAATAGAAGATTGTGTTTATACTTTCATGTGGTTCACAGCAACAGCCTGTCCCCTGAAGAGCAATGTACATAAGGACTGCAAAGTTACAAACCCAGTTACAGGTTAGGAGTGTATTTGCAAGTGACATTTATTGCTAATTTTAATCAGGGAAGTGTATTCCTTGCATGGATGCTTAAACCAACAACAGTTTTATTCTGGTTTAGAATCTGTGCATTAATCATGCCCTAAAAGAAACTTGAACTTTGCAGGCATCATATTAGAAAGCTGCAAGTGCTTTGTTCAATGGGAAAGATACAGTTTTAAAAAAGGTTAAATAATCCATTCCAGGTTGTAAACTGGAATGGAGTATTAAATTAACATCAGGTTAGGCATATTGCTGCCGCCAGAATTTACCTTGGACATAAAGAAGTGTTCCATGTTGTATAAATAACAATCATCCTTTTATATATTTCATTTTATCAGGAGCCAAAATATGACAATTTAAATATATGAAGCCCTTATAACTGGGATTCCCTGGGCTGTTTAAGAATCAGGATGGAATTAGACCAATTACATCATTTAATTGCTATTATTTGAATAGCAAATAATGTAGTGTCAATGCATTTGGTGTTAAAACTAACACTGTACGTGCATCAGGTTAAATACTTTGTATTAGGCCCATGGTCTGTTTCTTTAAGTACTCCAAAAGTAATTTTTTATGCATAATGAAAACACAATAAATGAAGTCTGTTGAATGTTCTTCCCTAAGGGTATCTCTTTGATCTGAATGTGCTAAACATAAAGGGAGGGTACACAGTGTATGACAGCACAAACAAGAAAAAACTAATCCGGTTGAACGTCTGTGGTGGAGTTGCAGATTCAGGATGTGGACCAGATGCTGGTGAGTTTACCTGAGTTGCAACATTTTTGTCAGTTTTCTTTAGTGCTAGCATGAACTAGATCCCTATGAAATGTTGCAGTACCCTTTCACATGTTTTATAGAAAACGGTTATATGCACTGCGAAGCATACAAGCGGCACTTTAAAAAAAAGTTTAAAATGAAACTAGCTCAGTAGGAAGAAAGAATAAATATGGTCTGTAACTAACTTCCAACTTTCTAACTTGGGCACAAATCTGTTGGCTACAAAAGGAGAGGGTAATACATGGAAAAACTGTCTGTTTCTGATTAAACTTGTCAGGGGACAGAATCTTATGTCTTTCACATCCCACTGCACTGAATTTCAGACTTCACATCAATAAGAGTAGTATTCTTTTGAAGAGATGTATCATGCAAATGCAATTTTAGTTTTTTGTTGTTGTTTTTCTAGATTATCAATACTTTTTCATCATTTAGCTGATCATACTCTTACAATCCTGGGTTCTGCTAGCTCCCAAAAGATTGATACATGGATTGATTTTTTTGGGAATAACACTTCCTTGCTTTTACTGCCATAATAGATGCATGCAATACATAAAAGTCTTATTTTCCATTTGCTCATGAAAATAATATCCATCCATATTATACCTGCTTTATGCAATACAGGGTCAAATGGGGAGCCTATGCCTTTCTTCGCAAGCAATGGGAGCAAGGCAGGGTCCATCGCAGAGCACACAGATACAAGCATGCACACATTCACCAGGGCCAATTTTTCCCAGAAGCCAGTTAACCTACAAGTGTGTTTTTGGACTGTCAGAGGAAACTGGAGCACCCAAAGGAAACTTATACAAATATGGAGAAACTCTACAAACTTCATGCAGATAGCACTTCAGGTCCGGAATTTAACCCAGAGCCCCAGTGCCGCATGGTGGCAATGCTAACCACCACTCCAACATGCTTCCCCATAAAAATAATAGTCACAGAAATACTGGAGATGGAGAACATTGATAGGAAGAAGAAAATATGTTGCTTTTAATAAATAGGCCTTAAAAAAGTCATTACAAAAAAGATTCATTATTAAAATAATGTCTGTTTTATTGGTTTGCAGGGGTATGTATAAAAGATACCAAGACAGCTGTTAATGCTGGTTTAGTTTCCAAGACGTTGACTTACTTGGATCAAGTTGTGCAGCTTACTTATGAGAATGGAGACCTGTGCCCTGGAAGTAGTTCTCTGAGACACAAGAGTATCTTCAGTTTTGTTTGCAAGTCCCAGGCCAGCTCAGCAGATGGACCTGTGCTGGTGGCTACAGACAAGGAAAAGTGCACTCACTTCTTCTCCTGGCACACACCACTCATTTGTGAACAGCAGGTACTATACCGACTTCCTGTTTACCATTTGTTTGACAATCATGTTTGACAATCATGATCATTAAAATTAAAAAACCTTTAAGGATAATGTTTCAGAAGTATTTTATTTCTAAATAATCACTAATGTTTGTCCTTAAAGAGGATGAACTCATCATCTCACATTACATAATTCACGTTCTGCATTTTTGTGGTTTACTGAATTTTAATGATGATTTACTGTTTTTCAGAGACATTTCTCTTCTTTGCACCATTTCACATTTTAATTCCTACTGTAATGTAATCCACTCTTTTTGTGTTAGGAGAAAACAATAAGATCCTGTGTGAAATGACAACTGACTTTAAAGAATGAACGTTTTGTTCAATGTATTTATACTCCCTAGTCAATGTTAATTTCGATTAATTTTTATCTTTCACTGTATTTTAATCTAGTCTATGCTCATGCAAAGGATTGTTTCTTTCATCCACATCTGTCTGATTATCTCAGACAGATCACCTCAAATTTCTGAAACGTATAACTCAGTTATAAAAGAACAACATCTTTCTTCTTTTATAGAGCTGAAATAACTTTCTGAGCTTGGAGAGAATATTGTCAGTTTATTTATAAACTCTTCTTTAGCATCTAGTCTCAAAATACCAAGTAGTTAGTATAGAGACTTTCTACATCAATTATTACCCATTGATAAAAAGTTAGGGATGAATGATACTGTCTGAATAAAATGGTAAGTTTGGCCATTCTCCTAAATGGAACTTAATTCAGTATTATCTACAGATGTATCACAAAGAGTAAGCCCTCTGCTTTAATTTTATATGTAACTAATTAAAGATGGTAACAGGCTGTTAGATACTGTTATGTAACTAGTTTCGTTTTTCTCAGACATGGTTATACTGTACATGACTTTCTGCAGTGATTGGACTTTCAGACTTTCTGTTCATTTAGAAGCATTCATTTTAAATTTTCTGTTTCATTTGCATCTGATTTGAGTTAATAAGTGATGTATAATGTCTAGAATTATGTGCAGTTTTATATTTATTCTGGTTAATGTTCATGTTTAAAATCAAGTTACACTTTATCAAGTAGTGAAAGCTAAACCAGAAACACAAGGAGACATGTTACCTAACCTGAATCGCCTTATAATATTAATTAATTATATTAATTATGGTATTACTTAATTACTGTCTCTGTACATATTGCAGTTTTTGAAAAAAAACACTTTAATGACAAATCTGAAATAATATTTTATGTAGATGCACTATTAAAAAAGGGCACAAAGGTTTTGTGACTGTGCGCCTGGAGATACTGTAAATATTTTTCTTTATTCTAATTTTCTGGATAAAATGTAAAGGTCATAGTGAGAATAACTAAAGTTTTTTGAGGTATACTACAAAAATCTTTTTAAACACCTATGAGAATGTTGAGGCAGATAACTGTCTTGGAAAAAGCTGTTACTCTCTCTGTTGTAACCACTTTCACAGTCCATTTCTACAAGGACAAATTTGTGAAATGTGCACGAGCTTCCTTAGCAAGTTGACACTCGCTGTCTTTAGATTCTGTATTAAGATTTGTTTTATACCCTAGATAATAGCAGAATATTAGTGACCCTGTTAGAATAAATGTAACACTTTTCTGGCACATAATAAGTATTAATTGTGACTCCAAAGGAACACGTAAAGGTTTATTCCATGCTGAAAAGATGACTACCGTTGTTAATTCTGACTGCATGTTCATAATAGTGCCTAAGCTTTTATTTAAAAAAACAGTATAAAAGCACTTTAAGATTTTTATTTTTATTTTAGATATTTATTTCATATTGAAGTGTCTGTAATTTCAGGTGAGCTGTTCAGTTAAAAATGGGAGCTCCATCATTGACCTAACTCCACTGATCCACAAAACGGGTTATTACTCTGCAACTGATGCTGAGCTGGGAAGGGACAACTCTCCAGACTTTTATATCAACATTTGTCAGCCATTGAACCCCATTCCTGGAGTTACCTGCCCACCTGGAGCAGCCGTGTGCTTAGACCCAGTTGATGGGCTTCCCATAGTAAGTATAAAGTCCTAGATTTCTTCCCTTTGTATCTCGGATGCATAGTGATAAATTTAATAAGAATGAACTGTGGTTTGGCAGACAGTTATTGACACAACATCTACAGGTAAATGACATTCATGCATTTTCCACTTAGAAATGGCTCACACTGATGTTGTTACTTTAAAACTTTGTAAAATGAACCTGCTTCTAACCCTTGACACTTTTTGCAAGAACAGTCTATATCTGATGATGGATGCGGGCCTTGAACCAATTTGTGACGTGATGCAGATTTTCCAAATCAACAAAGCATTAAATCATAGATATCATTGTAAGTTGAGTCCCTTTTTTCCCCCCTTTGCAGGACATTGGACGAATCACGGGACCTCCGCAGATAAATGAAGCCATTAATGAAGTTTATATATCCTTCAACAGCAACACTGTGTGTCTCTCTGACAAGAGCAAGAATTATACTTCACTCATTTTGTTCAGCTGCCAAAGAGGAACTGATCTGGTAAGCCTTTTTTTGGTTTATTTGCTATGAAGACAAATAAAACAGATGTCTCACATCAATATCTAATGGCAAATTAGGCATAAAGGAGGGTAATCAATGAAATCTTGTCAACAAACAAATTAACCCGTCTTTCACAATGTAAACTTGCTGTAATTTTCTCTGTAAGACCCATGTCTTTAAATTAATACAACCACATGTGGTTCATATCAGTTTCTAACCATCCTAGTAGAAAATAATTATTTTTCTGTAGTTAGACACACCAACAATAGATATGATGCCTGGAGACTGATAGCAACGTGGATCCATCACTGAGCAAGGGGCTGTCAAGAATTCAATGGGACTGTTGCATTAGCCAAATCAGACAGCACATGGCTGTGTATACCCAAAAGCAGCCTATACAGGGCACACCCAAACAGTTCCCTCTCAACCCTCTAACAGTTTCCATCTAGAACTGCCAACATACTGTTGCATTAATTTAATTTTGCTAAACCTTTAGAGGAAGAAACCCTGTTCTGTCTTTTGCCGTCTTCGATTTTGATGCTTTTATGTTGTGTATGTGTTTTTTTATTAATATTTTAAGTACATCCATCCATTATCAGAAAGGTACTTATTCCTGAAACCTAATATCTGTCCTCAGTGCATAGCATTTAAGGCAGGACAACACAGAGCAGCATTTCACTCTTTAGTGTGAAGAAAGTTTGAAGATAACCATTTTGAAATATTCTGTTATATTGATTTTACAGGGCTCTCCTCAGATGATAAGGAAGTCACCTTGCAGTTATGTGTTTGAATGGGCCACACCAGTGGTATGCTCAGATTCTGTCAGTACGTCAGGTTGTGCCTTAAAAGATGACCAACTACAGTTTACCTTTAGTCTCTCCTCTCTGACAGGAGGGAGCTACCAGGTGAGACAGAAGTCTTTACACTTTTTCTTATTCATGTTTCTTTATTTTTCTATGTGGTCTGGTCAGTTAAAATAAAATCTTAATGCAGTAACTTTTAGAAAAGTTGTAACCTGTAGTCCAGAATTACTTATTATCTATCTAATTCTCTCCAGAGCCTCTCCACATTCAAATTACAGGGTAATACACCTTTTACATATTCAGTATTTCCTGCTTCAGGAAGCAGATGACACAAAGAGGTCCATGTGACAAGCAAAGTGACAGTGTAATATCTGAGTGTAAAAAGTGTGTTAGTCATTGATAATGTGTTTTTATTGTCATTTCTGCGTAATCTCAGTGTCTGGTGTTTTACAGGTACCCTCTGGCTCCAAGTCCTACCAAATTAATGTCTGTGCACCAGTGACAGATGCCAAGTGCCAGGACAGTGCTGTGTGTCTAGTTTTAAACAATGCTGCATACTCTTTTGGGAACTTTAAGGCAATGTCTATGGATTACAGGCATGAAGATCAGGCTATTATAATGAAGTATGGAAGTGGAGACCCATGTCCAACAGGTCAGATTTACCATAGGTTTAACTAAGAAAAGCAAGTATTGGTGTTATAATAGTTTGTTTTTTTCCCAACTTAAGGCTAAGCCAAAGTTTTACCTTAGTATTTTTATCTGTTTCAGTGACCACAAAAGGTGAAGTCTGTACCTTCCCTTTTAAATACCATAAGAAGTCTTACAATTCATGTACTACAGATGGGAGGACTAACGGAGATCTTTGGTGTGCAACAACTGATGACTACAATAGAGACCAGAAGTGGGGATTTTGTACTAATGGTGAGCAGCACCCCTTCATTAATGCCATTATTGAGTCATCAGCTATGTTGGGGATTTTATTTTAAAATGTAATTTGTTGGATTTTAAAGTCACTTAATCAAACATGTTTTAAGCTTAAACATACAGATGCAGCCATTCAAAATAGGTGGGGTATTTCGCAGTATACCCCAGTGGGCGTGTCGCAGTATCACGCAGTATCACAGGGTAAATCGCGTCATTTGACGTCATGCCGGAAAGTATCCGGCATCACCTTGTAAAACCATCAGGAGGAGCCAATAAAGCTTAACCTCTCATGTACAGCATTTGAGCTTTTAAATTTAAACTGTGTATTACGGCATGTTAATCATCAGTCATTAAAAAGTTGGTACAGATGCAGCCATTCAAAATGCGCGGGCAATACCGCATTATTTTGCGGTGCGCTTTACGCAGTCTACCGCGAGTTACCGTAAATTCTCTAATAATACCGCAAGTAAAATAATAGTATCCGGAATTTCTGCAAGATGGAGCTAATAAAGCTCAACTAATTACTAATAGTATTAATAATGAATGACCTTGCACAAGCTGTAAACTCAAAGTATTGCCCTGGTCCACATTCTTTTTTTCATTGACCATCTTTGTAAAAGTAACACCACAGCATTTCGCAATCACGCATTTGTTTCCAATCAT